GACATGAAGTCCAGCGAGGCGATCTTGTCGAGCGAGTTCTGCAGCACGGGGGCCGCGTACTGCGCGCTCAAGACCCAGATGAAGACGCCGAGGCAGACTACTTCTCCCAGGCGCTTGGCGACGAAGGTCCAGCGGATGGTCGGGGTGCGCGGGTAGACGGGCTGGTAGATGAGGGTGGGCGCCCACCAGAAGTAGATGAGGTTGTTCATGGTGATGTTTTGCGGGTAGGGGCACTGGGCGTAGATTTCCGGGAGGGAGTCGAGTTCCCCCTTGACCGGGTGCAGGTAGGCATGGCGAAGGTCCCGGTTGGTGAAGGCATACGAGGCCGTTTTGAGCCAGACGATGATGGCGTGCAGCTCGGTCAAAGTGCCGATCAGGGGGTGGTGGATGTTGAAGTAGACGACGAATGTGGTGAGGACCAGGGCGAGGGTGACGTTGATGGCGTGGGCTAGCCATATGAGACGCCAGGTCGACTGGAACTTTTTGTACTCGTCCACTGTTGGGCTGGATGTGCCGTCGCGCTTTTGAGACCTGATGCGTTGACGCTTGGCCTGCTGGGCGGCGGCGAGCTCGATGAGATAGGCTGCGAATAGATGGCAGGGGATAAGGAAATACAGCAGTAGTCCCAGGTATAGATCATGTTTGCGGAAGTCGTGGCATTTGATACAGATCAGGACGCCGTACTGTTTGCCGGGTTAGCATAACCACATGAGAGTTTCCGAGTTTCGTTCTCATCTCACCTTCTGGATATTCTCAATCACAAGACGCAGGTTGCCAACAACTGCATGAACTTATTAGTAGACTTATCGAGGTATTCCAGGAACGGAAAGATGCTCACCCAGAACTATCACCATGAGGTTACGGAACCCCAAGAAGCTCGGCGTGGCAGGAGCATCGTGACTGAGGGTTGATGGCCTCGTCTGCGAGTGAACGGCAGCGACATGACGGTATTTCTTTATGAAAGACCTTCTCAATTGAATCGTTGCTTCGTCGACGACGTTGCCATTGCGTTGCGTGGTAGAAGTGTTGGACCTATGCACCACGCCGCCGTTGGTGCTGCCGTCAGCGTGGCTGGTGATGTCAGTCTGGACGCCCGTCACCGTGGCCGTGTTGTTCATCTCAGCAGCATCAGCAGGATAAAACAGTATAACGAGGCAATTGGCTTCTCGGTCTGAAAGGGTTGTACAGGTAATACGAATAGACAGCCGGCTTTCCAACCAAAGCTATAATCTCAAAATCTCAGCACCGGATGTCTGTCGTATTGCAGCGGGCCGAGAGCATGCGCCACTCGATGAATGCTTGGTATGCAGCGGGTTTGGCGTAGCGAGAGTTTTAGCCTCGGGTCGGAGCGGCCGAGATACCACTGATTTTAACACGAGCCTCCGAGTCGACCTCCTTATGTAGAAGAGCAGATATGGCCGAGAAAGGGCGAGTATGGCAGGGCGACCGTGATCAAAGTCCAAGTTGAACGGAAACAACAGACTGTGAAAAGCGCCTCAATTGCGCCACAAGGGAGCTACGTAGGTATATACAACTCGATTGGCATGACGTGGACGACATGGAAGGTTGCTAGGCCAAGCGAAAGCCCTCCAGAAACCCAGAGTCGAGGCCTACAGGGACCAGACATATCCTAGGTAATGTCGATCGATTGATAAGAATTCCACAAACCACCCTGTTCGCCCTGCAATGGAATGAGTACACTATTTGAGCGTTCGAATGCTGGTTGGAGAGGCTCATCAACGGTGCGACATGTGGCAAGCCACCATGTCAAGTCTCATGCACGCAATATCAGCGCCCAATCGCTGCCAAGTCTCAGGTCCACGGTGTCAATGGCCGGAGCGCACTCCGCACCCCAGTGTGAAGCTTGGGCCGGGAAAAGCCGAGAGTGGTTGACAGCTGGCAGACGAACTGCCAGGTCTTGGCAAAACGCTTGGGCCATCAGTTTCACTTCGCTTTGTCCTTCACATCGCGAACCTGAGCGCGACTGAACGAATATGAACATTTCAGAAAAGTTCGCATCATCACATCATACAGTCACGCTGGTATTAAAGTCACAGTCGTAAACTGCAGTTAATAGGTCAGCCGTATCTGACTGTAATTTTCGACTCATGCCGGCGCCTTGCCGGTAGCAGCTGTGATGGCGTACGATGGTGGCCGAGACAAGGGCTTCGATGGAGGAGGCGGTGGCCATGGATATGATGGTCCTCCAAGAGCAAGAGGAAGACGTGAGATTCTATCGCCATGTATGATTTAGTGATTCCAACTGACTAGAAGCGTTTATGTAGGCCCTGTCACAGACTATGGCGCAACTGTCGTCCACTGGATGCTCCATCGCCAGCCAAGATACAGAGGCTCGTTCAAAGGAGAAGTCGAACGACCCAGCCAGAGCTATATAGTTGATGTCAGTTCTTGCTTCCGGGATGATGACTGCGCCAAATACTGACGGGTGGCTAGATGCTTCCGCCTCATGCGCGAGTTACCAGTCCAGCCGACTCCGTGCCCTCTCGTCACCTTCATTCATCACTGAATAAGATCAAACATCCCATCAATGTGGTCAAATGGACGCCAGAAGGCCGCAGGCTTCTAACAGCCTCCAGCAGTGGTGAATTCACGCTCTGGAATGGCACGGGATTCAACTTCGAGACCATCATGCAGGCTCACGATGCTGCAATCCGTGCCCTGGCATACTCTCACAGCGACGACTGGCTCGTGTCGGCAGATCATGACGGCATCATCAAATACTGGCAGCCAAATTTCAACAACGTGGAAAGTATCAGGGGGCACAACGATCCGATTCGCGACCTCGCTTTCAGCCCAACAGACTCGAAGTTTGTTACGGCTTCCGATGATTCGACCCTGAAGATCTTTGACTTTGCAGGCGGGAGTGCAGAGACAACACTCAGTGGCCATGGCTGGGATGCCAAAAGCTGCGATTGGCACCCAACTAAGGGTCTGATCGTTTCGGGATCCAAGGACCATCTCGTCAAGCTCTGGGATCCCAGGACGGGGCGGTGTCTGACGACTCTGCACGGCCATAAAAACACAATTACCAAAACCTTGTTCGAACGTGTCCGTGGTATGTGCCTTGCGACATCAGCAAGGGATCAGACGGCCAGAGTATTCGATTTACGAATGATGAAGGACATATGTCTACTCAGGGGCCACGAGAAGGACATCTCTACAATATCCTGGCATCCAGTACACTCGAATCTTCTGAGTACTGGAGGTTCTGAAGGTTCTCTTTTCCACTACCTTCTAGACGAGCCAAACACCCCGGCTGGCCACGCGGCAACTATTGCGCCATACGACAGCCCCGATCCATCCAACACTCCTGCACAGCCGATATACCCGGCTCACAAAGTCCCTTACGCCCACGACTTTGCCATCTGGTCGCTAGACTGGCATCCACTAGGCCACATCTTAGCATCAGGCTCTAACGATCGCATCACGCGGTTCTGGGCCAGAGCAAGGCCAGGCGAGGCCGACGGCGGCTTCAACGACAGATACCACATTGGCGAGGCTGAAGCAGAAGCAAAAGGCACCTGGGACCGCCGCGGCGGCCGCAAGCAACGACAAGAGGAAGAAGAGCAGGAGATGGAGGACGAGATGGACGGCCTCGTCGACCAGAAGATGCCACTCAGACAGCCTGGTTCCGGTTTCGCCGCTATTCCCGGGCTACCGCTCCAGCAGGAACATCGACCCATGAACGGCGCCGTTCCTCCTCCGCCAATGATACCCGGGGTCGGCGGTGGCCCGCTCCCACCGCTGCCCTTCCCTCTGCCCGGGCTCAACGGAGCTCCGCCGCCCTTCGATCCGAACAACCCACCGGATCTGGCTGCGATTGCCGAGATGATGAAGAAGGTGGGTCTGCCTCCCCCTCCGCCACCGGGCTCTCTACCGTCGGGCATGCTGCCGCCTGGACTTGTCCCACCGCCAAACTTTGCCTTGCCTCCCGGCTTCCCTCCTCCGCCTGTGCCTCCGCCTGGCTACGAGGATCAGGGTGCCGCAGGTGGCAGGAGAAGGGCCCCTCTACCCAGTCAGGAGGAGAGCCTGAGGGCTGAGATAAAGCATGGTCGGTATGATCGTGTTCGCTAGGAGAATGGATACGGCTCCTAGATCAAGGTCATCACAAGCGATTTACTCCAGTTGTCAGGCAGCGATCTGCGGACATACGCCGGCTCCCATGCAATTTGCCGATGCTACAATAATATCGGGTGAAAGGGACCATAATTCATTACGTTTGCCCCAGAGGGTATTCAGGGGGCCAATAAGACAGGAACACGGGTTTCATAACGGCTTTGTGCGATGAAAATATGCAAGGAGGGCAGCCTGAGAGGTGCATGGGGTGTCAGGTCATTGGGCATGGTTATGGCTAGGTATTGGAGCGCTATCTCGTCAAACAGGGTTTATATTCCGAGCATTGAGTCTACTATGCGCATCCCTTCATAGGACAATACTCCTAGCGAATGCGGTTTTATATCGATGACATATGAGTGACCAGGCATTGCCATGGTAACTCCCACCGCCGTGTTAAAGGTGCTTTTCTGGCTCTGTTGGCGATCTTTAGCGGCGGCGGGATTTTACCGAGTGTCATGTCCCCTTCATTGGAACTGTTGACCATCGAGCTGAATAGATTGACGGCAGATATAAGAGCATTGTTAAGGGGAAGGCAATGCTACCAGCGAGATGACATGTTTGGTCAGATCTGAGCATCCAATGGTTGCGCACACCGGCAGCTCTCTCTTTCTTCCCTTACCCTTCCGCCTCTCATCGCCCCTTCGTCCATGTGTCTCCTCCCCCAGCTCTTTTCGGCTAGCTTAACCTTGCCGTGTAGGTGCCCAGCTCCTTTTCACGCAGCATCCGTCAGTGGTGTTCCTCTTCCACCTTCTGGAAAGTAGCAACAAGTCATGACTCGCGCAACCAGAGAATCAGAGAATCCTTCCGCTCCACCTCTCCGCCGCCGTTCCTCCTAAGCCGTCTTGGCTGCACTGGTAGCCACGGGGACCATGGCGCAGTTGGCTAGCGCGCAGGTCTCATACTACCAGTATGATCGAGTCGAAACACGGCACGAGTTATCCTGAGGTCGGGAGTTCGAGCCTCCCTGGTCCCACATCCTTTTGCCTTGTGGCTGTCTTGTATTTTTTTGGTCCTCCATCACTCATACTTGTGGTCTCGAGTTGAGCATCGCACCATGTCTTGTTGCAGTCTGAATGAACACCTGTGAGCTGTTTTGTCTGTTTCCTCAGCTCATGTTGCTGGACTCATGTGGAGGCATCCCTGGCGACACCGGAAGACGGCGAATAGGCGCAGCGAGTCATGTCAAGAACTAGCCCGTTTGGCGCAGTGGTAGTCGCGTGTCACTTGTATCAATTATTCGTGCAAGATCATGACAAGGTCGCTGGTTCAATCCCGGTAATGGGCAGATGATTGCATTTTGCATCACATCGGTGGTTTATTTTTGCAAAAAAGCAGGTCGGTGGAAGATGCCATTGATAGGACCCAACGTTGAGGTTAAGTAGTAGGTCGTCGCTTCAATGCCAGTCGCACTAAACAAGGAGAGAGAGAGGCTAGGCAAGAACAAGTAATGATAAGTATAAAAGAGCAAGATATAGAAAGGTCCACCTCTCTAAGAAATGTACGTAGTACCAAGAGTTTATACTAGTCTCATCCACGTCGAGTGTTCTGTAACAGCTGAATGCGTTGTAGAGAAGTATTCCGTTAAGGTTACTTCTAAAAGAAGTAGCGATGATGCAAATCAGCAACTGTCGTAGCGCAGCAAGTGGTAGGCAAAGAGGCGGCAAGTAGTAGGCAAAGAGGCAGTGAGTACTCTAGCTTAAGAAGGGACTGAGAAAGACAAAAAAAAAAGACGATGTGAGCAGGGTTCGAACCTACGCGGACGAATCCATGAGATATATGAGTTCAACTCTCACGCCTTAACCACTCGGCCATCACACCAGTTGAGATGTCGTTATGTAAGCTTTGCTTACTTAACCCTATCTCACATCCCACTTGAGGGTGTGGAACAGGATCCGGAGAGTTCCCTTGGAGCTTGGGAACTAGGCAGGCTAGAATCCGGCTTCGAAGAAACGATTCAATATCGACCTACGAGTTATGGAAGGAATACAGCCGCATGGTCATCACAACTGGCAAGGCAAATTTGAGCATGACTGGGCACAGGTGTCTGAGCGAGCTGTCATGACTTGATCACAAACATCCAGAACTGCAATAGCCTCGGCGTCGAGTATCACTAAAGCTTCCAAATCTTGTCTCTTGAAAGATCCATGTGTGGTATTAACGTGTATCGATTAGACGGACCAAGAGAGCAGTGTTTCCACCCTCTAGACAGCCCTTCGGCCTTCAGCAAAAACAGAGAGGAGTTGATATGTCCATCACTCATGCAGTACTCCTGCCGCTCCCACCCCGTAAATAAATCCGCAAACCCGTCCATGTTGCCCTGGGGTCATCCGTGTACTTGACTCCGGCCACAACCTTATATGCTTTGAAACCAAGACGATTAAAGAAAACCTGAAACACGCGCCTTTTACGAGCCTCCCTGTCCTTCCTGCCTGTCTGCATCAACAATCGAATAAGCACGACGATCAAGACCTCCGCCATGTAAAGCCGTTTACCTCCGCATTAGCCATCTATCCAGAGTAGTACCGACATAAGTTCCAGAAACGTGAATCGCTCATAACTCCATCGGATGTCGTAACCTCGGTCGATGCCAACGAACATATTCCATTCCACCCAACCCGCCCGGTCGGAACGCTCATCCACCCTGCAACCGCTCCCCTAACGCCGAAAGTAGTGCACCCGCACCCGCACCCCACAGGAAAAGGAAGCATTGCCTCACTCACTCGGCAACGCCTCCGTCAGCACGATCCTCCATCTCGACATCCATCTTCCCGTTCATGCCCGACTCCTCCCGGCACCGCCGGCACATGCACCACCCGCCCAGCGCGCCGGCCGCCCACTCGCGCCGCTTCTGCACCGGCAGGTCGACGTCGCAGTAGTGGTTGAGGATCTCCTCGCCGGCCGTGATGCCGCCGGGCGCGTTGCCCACGACCCTCGTCTTCCGCGCCCACATCTGCATGCGGCCGCCCCATTCCCACGTGACGTTGGGGTTGCAGTCGTGGTTCGCTAGGCACCAGAAGGGGTGCACGGCGGCCACGTCGGGCCGGCCGTCGCGCGGGTTCTGGCGCGAAGAGGCCGTGCCGCGGAACTTGGCGTAGGCCGTGTTGAAAACCCAGACGTCGTGCTTCGGGAGGGTGGCGTAGATGTCTATATCCATCTTCTCGAGGATATGCAGCGGCATTTCTATGCTATACCGGAAAGAAAATGGGAGGGTCCATTCTGGCGGCGGCCCGGCGTTTGGAGAAAGGTCGATGTCGTTGGCTCGCGATGGGATGAAATCACCCCATATGTATTTGACATGATCAACATCCAGGGGATGGACGTCCTGGTGGGCTGCCATGGCGAGTAGACGCCCAAGGAGAAGAACATACAGGGATTCATCAATCTCGTTCCGATCCGGATCCCTGGCAATGGAATCGATGTCCTTGTCGCACACCGCCGGGTGGTAGAACTCCATTGCTTGCTGATAGCAATACTCGTCGCAGAACACGGTGTCATGGCAATCCTCGCAGCTGACAGCTTGAGACCCGGGCTTCAAGGGCGGAAGTTCAGACCCGCAGGCGTCGCAGGTGGATTCCTTGTGGCGGTTGTTAGCGGTCAGGAGAGAGTACTCCTTCAGGACAATCTCGCCGGGAGCAATGTCTTCCCTTGCGAACAGCCCTAGCTGGTTGCATGTCGGGATGATGTCGTAGTTATCGGTCTCGCTTTCTGCGTCGAGCAGCACCGGGAGAGAAGCCACACGGATCTCGCATTTTGGTGCGATATCCTGAAGCTGTCGGTTGAGGAGGGATAGAGACTCGCGGGAGAAGCGGTCGGGGTCATGAGTGTTCCAAGGATAAACTTCCCGGCGTACTTTGCCGCGATCCGGAAGGTCGTTGATGGTTATTTCGGCGTCTGCAGCTTTGCCAAGCCGTCGCCTGGCTATCTTTTCGATATATCCCTTCGTCTCCAACAGGTCCTTGTTTCCAGGAACTGATGCGAGTCCCCTTTCACAGAAGTTATAGGCACTGCGCAGACTGCCGATCAGGAGAAGACTTAGGGAGAGAATCTGGTAACAGCGAGTAGATGCTAGGGTGACGAGCTCATGTGATGGCTTGGATCCGGAAGGCCCAGAGCCATTGGATCCTGTCGAAGAATCGTTGGGCAGAGTTCCAAGGCCGAGGATGGCTGGCGGCGGCGAAGAGGAGTATCTCTCTAGCGCCTCACTAGCTTGTTCATGATACTCAAAGCTCTCTTCAAGGACCTCGTCCGTGAGTAGGAGAGCTCGGTAGGCATCTCCGGCAGCAAGGTCCGGGTACCCCAGGTCCGAGTAGACGAGAGCCCGTTCCAGGTAGAGGACGAGGTCGTAGGGGGACTCGGCGAGTGCATCTGTTAGTTGTTGGCGGGTGTCGAGTAGAAGGAGGGTGCGGTTGTCGCTCCCGTCAGACACAGAGGTGTCTTCCATGGCGGAGAGAGAGGAGGAGGGCATGGGCCAACCTGAGGTGACAGGAGTGAGTGGGACACGGAGGGTGGGAAGATCTGCCGCAGCTGGATCTCGATCGACGCCTGTATCATGACCAGTTCGAAATATCAAGACCGGTCTAGGAGTCTAGACTGCCCTCGCGGGTGCAGTCAAGTTGCATATATATGTGGGAAACTTGGTGTTGGCAGACTTGTATGAGGGCGGGTTGTGGCTTGAGGGTCGAGGGTTGGTCAGGGTACCGGTACCTGTAGGCCTAGGCACGTGTGCTTGGCAGAATATTTAGGAAAAAGACTTGGACCTTGCTATGCCGGCAAGGAGGATGTATTCAGTACAAGGACCCTTAAAGATAGGTAGGTTGGACGTTTGGCGCGAATGGACGGGAAAAGGCCACAGAAACCCTGGAAAAGTGGTGTAGAGACCCTGATTTTCTGCTGCCCCGTTGCGTTACACTAGGTCGGTCTAGAGCAAAGCCGGGTCAGAGTTGCGCAGTCGGTTGAGTCAACTCGCGACGCGGCATGGTCGACCTTAAAAAATGTGCATGATCCGGGCAGGACGCCTTTAGTGTAGAAGACACATGAGCGACGGCCACATTCCCGTAGCAAATGCTCCGGGATGCATATTAGTCCCGAACTCTAATTGGGCGAGCGAAGTCCCATGGAACCCTTTTCTCCATTCCATTTGCTAGGTTCTTCTAGACGTGCCCTGTAGATTACCTCAGGGTGCTGTTGTACAGGGTACCGTCCAGTGGGTTCCAGAACGAGAATGAGGGGTCCTGTTTCTCTTCACAAACATGGATCCAGGACAACTAAACGGTCCGCCAAGGTCCTGCTCAACCACAGTTACGAGCTGCTCCACGCCGACACTGTACGCAACTGACAACAGCCTGAACAGTGATACTCCCGTTGACGGGTTTCCAGCTCGACGTCTGATCTATGTACTGTGATACATACAGAGTAGTACGGACACAGTGGGGCGTCGTCCGATTTCTCCGCGCGCCGGCCTCGCAACTGTCCTTGCCCATCCGAGCCACCCTTCCCGCAGATACCTTACACAGCACCTTACAGTGTATGGAAGGGGAGCGAAATAACACGAAAGCAGAACGAATCCGGGAATTCCATCACAGTAGCACACTTTACTGCGCGCCACACGCTAAAACGAAATTTTAACAGCCGCTGGAATATAATCGGTGCTTTTTCACGCCAAGGCGATGACGGATCGCTGATGGTACACCCACAGTACCTACCCAGTGCTCCACCACAGGACCCCTAAACTCGATGGCCCCCTTGAAAGGCCGTGGACCCTGTTTTCCCTCACACCCATCCAATCCGGTGAGGCCGACTGAGCCGGTGCCTGTCTCCTTCCCGTGCCTTTGGTCCCCTAATTCATGGCAATACGTCATATACCTTAGTTACGGTACCTCTTGAAGCCGTGCCTACCGAGGTACCTGCCGTCCTCACGAGCCGTGTATTTCCAAGCTTTCTCTACAACGACTTGCACGATTCTACAAGGAAGGT